ACTTATTCTACTGGTGTTAGTTCTCAACCATATTCAGTTGTTATTCTTGATTTTAATAACGATACCCGATTAGATATTGCTGTTGCTAGTTATGGAACTAGTCATATCGGTGTATATTTCGGTTATGGTAATGGAAGTTTTATGAATCAACAGATATTCTCTAGTGGTTTTAATTCACATCCATTTGCATTGGCTGTTGGTGATATAGACAATAATAACTTAACTGATATTATTGCAACTAATGATGGATATGGTAATATAGATGTTCTTATGAAAACTTGTTAATATGACATTTTTCATTTAAACTTTCATTTATTTCTTTTTTTTTTGCACTGTATTTTCATCAAAACATTTTAAAGTTTAATTTATTAAATTCTTTTGTTCATTTAGAATTGTTTACTATGATCAAAGAGATAGAACATTTAAGAATAGTTGAGATATTTTACAAGATTTATATCCACACAAATATTATATTTCAAAGCCATTATAAAATCATTAAGATTGAAATTTTTTGTCCTTCTGCAACATCTAAACTAATCGTCGAAGAAAAGATTCTTGATGTTTAAAAATGTATTTGGTTTCACTGTTCAATCTGTATCGTCATCTTGTCCTATATTGCAAGTAATAACGTATGAAAATATGTATTGAATAAAGTAAATACTTTTTTTGTCGAATAAATCAATTAATTAAAAAATAAACGTTAGAAATAATGATTGTTGATAAATAACTATATGATTATTGAATTGAACATGTTATATTTGCTATACTTTGTTTTTATTGATTTATGTCAAGACAAAAGACAGTAGATTAGAAATAATAATTTATTTAACAAATTTATCAATATTTTGCACTACAATAATTTTACTTGATTTATATATATCGTAAATATATAAAACAAGTACATAGTCATTACAATACAAGATGGACCAAAAGTCATTTTACTATAAAAAAATTGAATACCTTCGCTATGGCTCGTATGAATGAACTAAATTTTTTACTGCTGATAGAGGAGTAGTTATAGTCTCACACATTACATTTTCTTTCTAATTTTTTCTAATTTTTGTCGAAAATTTGTTAAACGAAATGGTTTTTCACCAAAGAACATAGGTGCAGCTATAATAACATGATTAGTTGATGTAGATGTTTTCGTTGATTCTCGTTTGTTATCATAAATTTGATCAATATTCGTGTAAACTTTTGTTAAATTTGAATGATCTTTAGAAAGCGTTTGTTTTTGTGCATGAACAAATTTTTCATAGAATGACAGTGCTTTTGCATGTTCACCTATAATTTGATATAGTTGACTAATATTGGCATAACTTATAATTAAATCACGATGGTTTGATGGTAGAGTTTTTTCACGAATTTCAAGTGCTTTTTCATAGAACGAAAGTGCTATCAAATATTCTTGCATTTTTTGATAAGTTAAACCAATATTATTATATGAATTCGCAAGATCAGGATGATTAGCTGGAAGAGTTTTTTCATAGATTTCAAGTGCTTTTTCATGAAATGAAAGTGCTTGTAAATATTCTCCTAAATTATCATGTATTAATCCAATATTATTATATGAAGTAGCCAAATCAGGATGATTAGAAGGAAGAATTTTTTGTTCGATTTCAAGTGATTTTTTATAATATGTCAGTGCAGTCTTATAATCGCCCATATTATCATGTACAGAACCAATATTATTATATAAAATTGCAAGCATAGGATGTTCTGACGAAAGTGATTTTTGACAAATTTCAAGCGCTTTTTCATATGAAGAAAGTGCTTTTGGATATTGTCCCATATTATCATATACCATACCAATATTACTATAGGAAATAGTTAATGAAGGATGATTTGGTAGAAGTGATTTATTTTCAATATCTAAAGTTTTCTCATAAAATGAAAGTGCTTTGGCATATTCACCCATTTTTTTATATACAGAACCAATATTATTGAGACACATGGCAAAATCTGGATGATTTGATGGAAGAATTTTTTGATAAATTTCAAGTGTTTGTTCATAGAATGAAAGAGCTTTGGAATATTCTCCCATATTATCATGAAGTAAACCAATATTATTATATGAAATAGCCAACGATGGATGATTTAAAGGAAGAGTTTTTTGTTCAATGTCTAGTGCTTTTTCATGCGATGATAATGCTTTAGAATATTCACCCATACATTTATATACTAAACCGATATTTTTATATGAAGTAGCTAATGAAGGATGATTTGAAGGAAGAATTTTTTGTTCAATTTCAAGAGCTTTTTCATGTGATGAAAATGCTTGACGATAATCACCCATATTTTTATATACTAAACCAATATTATTATACGATGTTGCCAATGATGGATGATCTTCAGGTAGAATTTTTTGATAAATTTCAAGTGATTTTCCATAACAGGAAAGTGCTTCATCATAATTACCCATATTATTTTGTACTTGACCAATATTATTATATGTAGTAGCTAAATTAAGATCATCGGATGGTTGAATTTCCTGATAAATCTCAAGTGTTTGTTTATATAATGAAAGTGATTCATTATAATCACCTTGATTACGTTTAACTAATCCAAGTTGATGAAAAAGTAATGCTTTTTCATTTTTATCATTTGTTTGATCGAATAATGTTCGATAGACTTGTTCAGCTTTATCAAATTTACCTAATTTTATTAATAGCATACCTAATCGATGCCATCCTGTCGAACCATTCGTTTCTTCACGAAGTAATTCTGTAAGTGCACTAAGTTGTTTATTTTTACTATTCGTTAATGTAAGTATTACTTGATAAAGTCTATTATTTTTTTGAATTTGTTTGATTTCACCAATACGAAAAACAGTATGCATCGAAAAAAGTATTTCTTCTTCATTTTTAAAATAAGATTCAACTTCATTAATAAGTGCATAGGGTGTTGCTAATTCCGATTGATCAATAACCATTTTAAATAAAACACCAATTAACTCAGTATTATTTAAAGCATCTTCTGAAAATTCTAATGATACTTCACGTTTTTTACTTGTTGATAAAAAATTATTAAAAGACATGAGACCACCTTTTGCACGTAATAATTTTTCAAAATCTTCTTTAGATAAACCTTGTCCACGATAAACAATAAATGAATGTTTTTCTTGCCCTGTTGTCTGTTTTATATAAAGTTTATTGATTTCTTCATATAAATCATGTATAAAAAATCGCATTTTAATAATTGTATCAACCTCATGAGTGCGTAATGCTCGATTAAGCACGGAATAAATACAACCAGGATGTGTATACCAATAGATAGGTGAATGTTTATAATAATCTTTTTCAAATACTTCAAGAAAATTTAATTCAATTGAATTATTAACATATTGATTTTGACAATATGAAACAAATTCTTTAACAGATTGATCATCATATTTAATTTCAAGTAAAATTTCTTTAAGTATTTGCGTATACATAAATGATTGATCAAGTTGATCGAGATTTTGTTCGGATGCATCAGTCGGTGCAACAAAACTAAGTGAAACAATATTTTGTTCACATTTTTGTATATCTTGTTTTAATAATGCACACATTGGTGCAATTTGTGTGAAAACACCTTTTATTTTTTTCCAAGTTTTTGCCCATGGATCATGTTGTGCTTTGACACCACAAAATATATAAATTGAATCAATTTTTGTCATATGATGAATATGTGGGATTGTACATTGACCAAGAACACCGGATATAATCATAAAAACTTTTTCATATTTAATTTCATCTAAAAATTTTACACATTGATTCGGATTACTAAATATATGAATAGAATTAATAATAGATCGAACTTGTTTAATAATATCACGACATTCATCATCGAGTCCTTGATCCATATATGGATCTAACCAAATAAGAACAAAATTTTGTATAACACGAGGATGTGTTCGAAATCGTGAAAGTGTTGATGTTTTCTTTTTATTATTATTATTTTCTTCAGCATGTGAATTGTTAATAATTGTAGTAGGTTTTTTTTTGTTCATAATTGTTGTATAATAAAATGATAAATGTTGTTTTATCATACACTGAGATTTTTTTTGTTGCTTCTACGATTATTTTTATATGTTGGAGAAAATTTCACGGTAATTTTTGATTTAAAATCGTACTGTGTTACGTATCGAAAAAAGAAGAAGAAGAATCAACAAAAATACTCATTGGCAACCGGAGAACGAACGAAAGAACGAGAAAGAAAAGGGGGAGTACAACGCAGATATTTTACTGGCATATGTGTACTATAAACTTGTAAGGAATGTAATTTGAAGTAAACAAACATTATTTTATAAAAATATAGAAATTCTGAGTGAAAAAGAATTTATTTTATTTCGTCGAAAAAAAAAACAAACTTTTTCGCCGATTTTGTTTCTAATTGTACTATGAAAACGATTAAAAATAGTCATAAGAATTTGATGTACATTTATTAATATTGATTTTTGAATATAGATCGGCTAAACTTGATACATTTATACCTTGAATGTATAGAATAAAGACCAAAGGTTACTAAAAACGACAGAAAAAAAATGTTATCAGTATCATCTGCTTCTATTATCACATGTGATATCCACACAATCATTCTTTCTTACCGTCATTACCATCCAAGTATATACTTGCATAGATGCAAATGATATCTTCTAATATTTTATTACTATCAATTGTTGTTGTTGTTGTAGTTCAATCATCATCAGTAACATTAAATACCGTTGGAAAATGTTTAGGTGATTTAACAACACAAGAACTTGCCGGTTCATATAATTATCTTCAATTATCATCAAAACTTGGTACAACAAATGCTTATCCAGGTTTTTCAAGTTTATTTATTAAATTAAGCGAAGATGATGCATCAAAAGCTCATGATATTGTCAAATTTTTAGCATTACGTAAAATTAAATTAGATCGATTAGTCAATGGAAAAGGTGTTTCAATTCGTGATGAAATCAAAAATGCCAATACTATTGATCTTAGTTTAAAAGAAGCTCGTCATCAAAATACAAATGCATTGAAAATAGTTCAACGATGTCATCAAGACGCTAACAATATAAATGAAGCTAATATTCAAGATTATCTTGAATCTCATCTATTAGAATATCATATTAAAATTGATAAACTTTTAGAAGATTTTCAACATCGTCTTGATGATGCTGAAGCAGTAGACAAAGAATTAACAATATTTATGCTTGATGAAGAACTTTTAAATACGTATGGTGATCAACGTAAAGATATTTTCGCTTAAATAAAAAACATTAATTCGGAGGACTTTATATACGTATATGTAATTTCTTTTCTTGAATGTCATGGCAAATACAGGAAAAAGAAAACAAAACAAAAAAAAATGAGAGAAAAAAAAAGAGAAAACCAACAGCAACAAAAAAATGTACAAACCAAAAACAAAAGAAATAAATGCAAAAAAAAGTTGCGTTATTTTTCATTTCAATGAGTATAGTTTAGATCAGGTTAGTTCATGAGCTTGTTGTGCCACATGGACAAAAAAATCATATTTATTCGCTTTTTGTTCTCCACATTGTGCACAACGAAATGGATTATCTGGTGAATAATGTAATTGTTTATGTGTACAATACATTGCAAAATCTTTAAAGATAATTTCACAATGAAAACATTCAAATAAACGTTTTATTTGACATTCATCAACTTGTGTTTGTTGATCATGACGATTAATTATTTCATTTGAATGTTCATCATTACTTGTATCAGATGAATATTTAAATGGTGGTGCTTGTCCTTTTCGTTGTCGTTTAAGATGAGTATTATTATCAAGTTTGGTTGATGGTAGATGATTCTCATTCGATTCACTTTTAATGCATGATGATAATAAGGAATAACCACCATTGAGTAAAGATGGTGGAGGTGGAGCATGATTGTTATTACTATCAAGATGATATGAATGAACACCAGTAGGTGTCGTAGATAATGAACTAGCAGATGATAAATGGGATTGGATTTGTTGTGTAAGAAATTGTTGATATGGTGCAATGAAGTCATTTAGCTACAAAAGAAGATTGACAGATTTATATGAATCAATGAGGAGAAGGAGACCTTCTAGAAATAGTATATCTAATATTATTTATAGGAAATCTATCCTTGGATCATTTTTACATATATATAACCTTCTATATATTACTACTACTCCTCAAATTATATTGTACGATCTTTTCATGTAATTAGAATCTGTATAAGAGATCCTTGAACAATTAAGTCTTTCTCACTTCGAAGATAATAGTCACTCGTCTCTATTAAATGGTAATATATAAGTCTTCTATAATTGCTTCAAAAGCACTTGTTGTCTCTTCAAGTAAATTGTAATATCTCAAATAATTACCTGTCCATTATTGAATGGTCCAATTTTTCCATTAAATAATTCCATTAATTTTGTTGCTGGATCAACTGTTGCACTAGCTAGAAGTGATCGATTAAGAAGATCACTTTTTTTACATGCATGTTGAAATAAATGTACGCCAAGACCTTCTTTCGATGCAGCAACATAATCACATAAACTACACACTAATGGTGTTGATGGCATATTTGATGGCGTTGTTGTTGTGTTTGATGTTTGTTGATTCATGGAATCCATTTGATGTTCATCATTTGATATTGGTGACATTGCTGCTGCTGATGAACTAATTGATGATGTTGATGATGTACGTTTAACAAGTGGTGTCGTTGATATTGTTGGTGCTGTTTTACGTTTTTTTGGTGCTGGTGGACGTGTCGTATTTTTTGATGATGAACCTGTTGTTGTCATTGTTGGTGGTGGTGAATTACTATTTGTATTATTATTTATAATTCCATTCGAATATTCTTTAAGAAATTCTTCAATATTTTCATCAACATAAGGTTCATGTCCTTCGATTTGTAAATGTTCTTGTAATGCTTGATACTGTTTTGATTCAAATGAACAATTTGAACATTTAAATAAAAGATGTCGATAATGAGATTTTTTATGTGAACGTAACATTGATAAATTTACACATGCATAATCACATCTATAATAAATATATAGAGAAGAAAAAGATCTTTTAATTTTTCAATAATTTGAATTTATACTTTGAACATTTAAATGGTTTAGAACCAAGATGATTACGTAAATGATATTCAAGATGATGTTTATATTCAGTAACAAATGGGCAACTTGGACATTCAAGTATTTTATCAGCTCGTATATGTACTCGATGATGTGCCCAATAATCTTCCTATAAATATGATTATCGATTCTATTTTCTTATAAGAATATATATATCTGACATACTTTAACACTAGATACAAATGAACATTGTCTACATCGATGAACTTTTGCTTTACTTGGTGGAGTTGATTTTTCACTGTTGTTATTCATATTAGTCATATTTGATGTTGGTTCAGATTTTATTGAAGTTGATATAGGAATTGATGGAATTAATGGTTGTTCAGGTATTAATTTTGTAAAAGTATTTGGTGAATGTGTTCGATTATGTTCATCAAGACCCGATGATGAATCACAATAGAATCTATTTAAAAAAAAAAAAATTTTTTTCTTTGTTTTAAATATAACGACAATATTTTTGTAAAAATCAATAAGACAAACAACAGATTAGACTTTCTTACCAAAAACAAAAACTGAGAAAAGAAATTCTATATGAAAATATTTCTTGATTTTTACTAGAAAAGATTTTTTTATTTACCCGCATGCATAACATTTATATGGATAATGAACAGATATATGTTCAAGTAAATTATCTTGATTAGCATTTGAACCACAACGTATACATTGCACTAAACCATTGGTTTCAACACGATATAATTTAAGAATTTCTTCAATTGTTGATAAACATTTTGGCCATTCAATATCATGTTCATCACTTTCTTCATGATTACTATTTGTTATTTCATGATTCACAGGTGAATATTTCATTTCCTAATATTAATAATAATCAAGATTTAAAATAATTTAACAAGAATCAAAATTTATACCGTTTGATTATTATTATCATCATCATCACTAATTGGTTCAATTGCATGATTAATATCATGATTCTAATAAGATAAATTTTAAATAAAAATCAAATAATTCTATTAGAAATCATACTGAATTTGGTCGTTCACCACGTGCAGATAATGACCAAGGTCGAAGTGGTTTACGTCGCTAGTTAAGAAAAAAAAATATTTTAATATTTTTGTTTTATTCTTTCATACTCGACTGGCACTTTTGACAGGTTCATTCTCATTGATTGATAAAGTTGTACTTGATGGTTTGATTAACTAAAAAATTATTAAAATTTTTTTTCAAAAACATTTTTTTTCGATAGTAATAATTTACAGAAACGGGAGTATTGTTAGTATCATTTGAAACATTAACTTCTGTTGTTGTTGTAATTTTCGATGTATTATCAAACATAGCTAATTTTTTTTTTAGTAAAAGTGATGAATATTGAGTATCATTAGATGTTGAAACATCGGATATTGTTGTTGTAGACATAGGTAAAATTTGGAAATTTTCAATTAATGGAGAAGACGTTGGAGATGAATGTTGCATATTTGAATTCTACAAAAATGTCAGATAAAACATGCAACTCTTTCTAAAAGATATATACACAATGATCTGGCCCCGTTCATGGGTGGCGTGTGTGTTTTTGTTCGTCGTCGTGTCCTCTCTCTCTCATTTGTTTTTGTGATCGCTCTTTTTCTCTCTCTCTCTTTCTCGTGCTTATATTCTCTTTTTTCCTCTCTTGGTTCGTGTGTACAAGCAAGACTTCTTTTTCTTCTTCTTCTCTCTTTTCTTTTTGTATAGTAATGGCAGGTTCAGAAATGGCTTTTTCGAGGTGGACGCGACGGCGCGCAAAGCAGAAAAGAAGAACAACATCTTTTCCTTTTCTTTTCCTTCTTCGTGTATATGAAAGAATATGCTTTCACATAGGACTCGCTCAGATTTTTTTTTTTTTGTACATATACATCTATGCATGCATACATATGTCTAATTGTATTTCTCGCCGGGGCGACTTGACCATCGGTCGACGATGAACGATGGCGACGCCATTTTTTCTCTTCTTTCTTCTTTTTCGACTATACTATGAAGAGTTTTTTTTTTTTGCTATACTCTTTCTTCACCGACATGAATCAAGAGTCCAATATGTATACAAAATAAATATCGCAGAATGTATACCGAAAGAGAACGACCCGAATTATGATGATTTTTTTTTCTTCTCGTCTTCTCATGTTCAGTACAACAGAGAGATGCCTTTTCTTTCCCTTTCTTTTGTTTGGATAGAATAGCACAGTTGAACATCGACATATAGACATACACAAAAAAAAAACAGTCGATCGTTTTACCAGAAGAAAGAGAAAAAATTATGACTGGGTGACCGTGTTTGCTCGTTTGGAATAATATAGTCTGAATGAACCTTGATCTTTGTATAGCATGATGATAAGTAACTAACTGAAAAGAAATGTTCCGGATTTTGAGAATTATATGATTTATCGGTAATCAATAAATGTTTTTGTCAAATATAAAAATGAGTAATTTGTTTTCGAAACTCATTAAAATACATATCAACTAAAACTTTGTTTCCCATGAACCTTTTTGTTTTTTAATAATGTTGTCCAACAAAGATTGACACTCATAATGACTTTGGTAAATTATATATTCGTTTCTCTTTTAAGTATAATTGAAACGACAATTACTTGGTAATGGGAAGTAATATCAATCTTTCTTTGTTAATATATACCTTGAAAAAGAAAGAAAGATGAAGTTCAGTTGTTTTTTTCTTCTTGTTTCTGTTCAATTATATATATGATATTGCTTTCGTCTTTCTTCCCTTTGACGAAAATAAACGAACGAAACCTTTTGAACACAAAAGAATAAGTTCGAAGGTTATTTTTTCACATACGTAAAGAGAATGAGAAAGAAGAAGAAAAAAAATCTTGAATAAAAGAGTCTATTTCGATACCTAAAACTACTTGTGTGTCTACTTTTAATCCATTCAATAAATAGTTCACGAATATTGAACTCGCGAGCTTTCTTTTTTTTTTGTCTTGATCATTTTCTCTTTCTCTACGTGTCTGTTGTTCGATATGAATAAAAAGCTTTTCTCGCTGTTTTTTTGTCGAATGTCCGTTGGCTACTGACATAAAATAAATTCTTTCTTTCAACAGATTGAACACGTTCGTTTGTCTCGTATATTCAACAAAACATACTTGATTTTAAACGATCGCGTTTTTTTCTTCTCTCTCTCTCTCTCTCTGCTCTTTCAATCATTCATCACTATTATTATTCATATACAAAAAGAATTTCTATGGCTCTCATAAAAAATAACAGAATAATTCAGGATTGTTCTTCTTAAAAGCCTATTGAAAAAGAACAATGATAACAAAATTGAACGTTTATTAGTTGAAAAAAAAAATTTCAAAGTCGACAAAAAAACACCTGTGGCAAATACTTCACTATAGTAATTACAATGTTGATGAATTTTCAAGAGCTATTCAACATGTATTTTTAATCATCTAGTGGAATATATTTTTCTCTTTGTAGTAAATACAATAGAATATGATAATTCAATAGGAAATTTCTTTTTGATTATAAAACAATGTCTTTTATTACTTGTAGTAAAAAAGAAAGTTGAAGTACAGTCAATAAAACAAAAAAATATTTGAACTACGTTGTACATAGTCCACAGATATAATTTGAATTTCTTTCTTTTTTTTGATGAATCATTATATATGAAAGTTTTTTTTCTCCTTGTTCTGATGAATGTTATCTATACATTTGATAAGAATCTATTTGGACACTTATTCATTTTACGCTTAACATGGATTTTCGAGCATTAAAATCAAAATTAACGGGAAAAGTAAAATAAATATCATATAAAATTCGATTATGAATTTTTTTTCTTATAGAATTTAAGTGAACTAAATTTAGCAACACTATCTGTAAATACATTAGATAATCGTCAAAATTGTGATATCGAAAAATTACAAAATGAAATTGAGATCAAACAAAAAACGCTGGATGTATCCATAAGACATATGCTTATTACTCTCGATGCAAATATTGATGATTTTCGATTAACAATCGATCAAAAACGAACAAAATCTAAAATACCGAAGTTATCAGTATGTGATCTTTGGCTTCGATTAAAAACGATTGAACAATTACAACCATATCCACTCGTTACTTTTCTACGTACAAATCAATTGTATAGATCAGAAATTAAATTTACAGGAATAAATAATGATTGTTATGAAAATGAACAAGACTTTTCATTTAATTCACGACGTTGTCGTTTTACACATTTTCATATATGTGTAGGATCAGATGAATTTAATTTTAATGATGGTTCTTATGTTGGTTTAGTTGTATTTTCTTATGATAATCTTTCAAAATTTATATTAAATAAACATCATTCTCAACGGGGTGATATTATAATAAAACACATGAAAACTTTTACTCATGCACAAATATCACAACGAGGAATATATGATGCTTTATTTAAATTATATTTCAATTGTTCAATTGATGAAAAATTTATCGGTATTGGATTTTTATATTCGAATAAGAAATGGCATTTTGATTTAATAGCATATGATCATCGAGAATTATATCCATACGAATATCGAGTATTTGATCTATATTTATTTACACATTGGTTAACAAAATTTACCGTACCGCATAATGTTCAAGAAATGGAAATATATGCCAAAGATTTAGTATTGAAACAATGTGATATTGTTAAGAAAAAGTTAATTGAAGAAGATAACATAGATTTATCAAATATGTGGATGGATTTTATTGGTAGTGATGCAAAAGATTTACAAATAGCTATTAACCAGTTTATTCAAATAGCAGAAAAAGAAAGTGAAAGTATTTTCAAGGAAATAGTTAGAAAAAAACGAGCTTTGAATGATAACTAACATTACATACATAATCAAATCTATAAAGATAAATTTACTATAATTTTTGAAATAAAATAAATATAGATTAAATGATAATCCATTTTTTTTCCTCAAATCTATGTATATTGACAACTACAAACATTTTCGAAAATTGACTGTGCCTAAATGGTAATACGACGCGCCTGTTTTTTATACTATCTCGTCTATGTATCGCGATTTAGATATATGTTATTTTGTATCTATTGTTGTTTATAGGAAAACATAAATAAATAAAACTGACATGTTTCTATGTACACATAATAAAGAATGTTTTTT